TCCTAACTTTTATCCTATTTACAGATGAGGAAACAGATAAAAGGGACTAAGTGACTTGCCCGAGGTCACACAGATAACAAATGGAAAGGCTGGCATCTGTCCGTCTGTACATAAAGAATGTGAGATCTGGAGGCTGCCTTTGTTAAGTTTATAAACCATTCAGAGATATTCTTCACAAGAACTACAGAATTGCACAGGCAGAAGGAACCACAAACATTCTTAAGTGTTTTCTGGGTTTAGGTGTTATCTCTGCAACTGGACTGTAAGCTTCTTGATGGTAGGGACCACATCCTAAATCCATGGCAAGGAAATCTGAGACCGCATCAAATTTCCCAGGACACTTAGTGTGATGAATCTGTCCTTTAGATCTTGCATGCATCCAGGTTATGTGTCCTGATTTGGCGTTTAACAAACACAGTCACTGCACATTTACAGCACCTGGCCAGCCCTTGACCCCCAGCAGCCCTCACTGGCAGCTACCTTGAAATGCTGTTTTAGAGGCCTTTGGAACCAGGGTGCTCCACTCAGCCTTCTCACACGCCCTTGCTCCAGAAATGCCTCCTGACCAGGCAGCATGGAAGGAGCCCCAGGTGGCAGAGGGCAGGGTGCTGGCAGAATGGGAATGGCTGGAGAGGGCAGAGGTAGGGTTGGGTCCTGCCTTCACATGGTTACCCACGCCCTTTCTTCCCACAGAGCCTGTCATCCACTGTGACCCTCGAACACTCTTCACTCCCTCCTGGGGTCCACATCTCTTACAGATCCCAGTGTGGGGGTCTTGAGAAAAGGGAGGGTGAGGCTGAGGATCGGGGACAGTGCAGCCATGTCCAAGTCAACCAGACGGTGAGAGCTCTCCAGGATAGGCAGAAGGAAGTGGGGGGTGGGCGTGGAAAACTGAAGCAGGCAGGAAAAGACAGGGGCCGGCACTGAAAACAACGTGGTAGCGTGGGGTTAGTCCTTCATCTGTCCTTTCTGAGAAGGCTTAATGAGCAGCTTCCTCAGGCAAGTTTCTGGGAGATGGGTGTTATGATCCTATCCTTTAATTGATTTATTTTTAAAATTTTAAAATATTAAGGGGGTAGAAATGTTTTTGGTTACATAGATTGCTTTTGTAATGCTTGAGTAATGGTTATAGTTGTGCCCATCATCCAAATAGTGTTCATTGTACTCGTTAGGTAGGTTTCTGCCCCTCTTCTTATCCCCGTTTCCCCCTGCTTGATTTCCACTGAGTTTTACTTCCCTTTGTGCACATGTGCTCACTGGTTAGTTCCAATTTAATAATGACTACATGTGGTGTTTGATTTAATTTTTTTTAAATTTATTTTGTTTTTTGAGACAGAGTCTCAACTCTGTTACCCCAGCTAGAGTGCCGTGGCGTCAGCCTAGCTCACAGCAACCTCAAACTCCTGGGCTCAAGCAATCCTCCTGCCTCAGCCTCCTGAGTAGCTGGGACTACAGGCATGCACCACCATGCCCGGCTAATTTTTTCTATATATGTTTAGTTGTCCAATTAATTTCTTTCTATTTTTAGTAGAGACGGGGTCTTGCCCTTGCTCAGGCTGGTCTCAAACTCCTGAGCTCAAATGATCCACCCGCCTCGGCCTCCCAGAGTGCTAGGATTACAGGCATGAGCCACTGTGCCCGGCCTGATTTAATTTTTGTTTTTTTAGAGACAGGGTCTCGCTCTGTTGCTGAGTCTAGAGTACAGTGGCATTATCATAGCTCACGGTAGCATCGAACTTCTGGGCTCAAGTGATCCTTCCGCCTCAGCCTCTATAGTAGCTGGGGCTACAGGTGTGTGCCACCACACCTAATTTTAAAATATTTTGTAGAAATGGGGTCTAGCTATGTTGCCCAGGCTGAGTTTGCCAGCATGAGCTACTGTGCCTGGCCTATCCCTTAATTTACTAAAGGGTAGGGATTGGGATGATCAGTGGGCTGGGGTGTGCACATGTGTATAATCTGCCCACACTGTCCTCAGGTGAATTTCTGGGTTACTTTCCAAGCTACCCACTGCCTCCCAGAGCCCCATCTCCTGAGGCTCCGGGCCCTTGGCTTCTCTGAGGAACTGACTGTGGAGTTGCATACACTGTGTGGCTGTAACTGCAGTGACAGCCAGCCTCAGGCTCCCCACTGCAGTCATGGCCAGGGACACCTACAGTGTGGGGTGTGCAGGTGAGGGCCCCCTCTTCCTTTCACCCAGCTGGCTCCCCACAAATGACCAACCCTGTATTCCTCCTCCGTCACTTTCCACCCTCCCACTGGAGTCTCCTAGACATCCTAAGCCCTCCCCTTGAAGGGAACTCTCACTCTTCCACTCTGCTTCACTGCACTCTGGCACCCCTCACTCTGGCCACTCGTCTCTAACTCTTCGAGAACATGGGTTTAGAGGAACCTGGGAGAGACAGGTCAGGGATGGTCAAACTCCTGGACCCACTTCTCTCTCCTCTGCCTTTCCCTCCCAGCTGTGCCGCCGGCCGCCTGGGCCGGCTCTGTGAGTGCTCTGAGGCTGAGCTGTCCTCCCCGGATCTGGAATCTGGGTGCCGGGCCCCCAATGGAACAGGGCCCCTGTGCAGTGGAAAGGGACGGTGCCAGTGCGGACGCTGCAGCTGCAGTGGACAGAGCTCCGGGCGTCTGTGCGAGTGTGATGATGCCGGCTGTGAGCGACACGAGGGCATTCTCTGTGGAGGTACCTGGAGACTTTGGGAAGGAGGGCAGGGTCTGAGGGTCCCTCCCAAGGCAATTAGGCTCTGGGAGCTTCATGACACTGAGGGCACATGTCAAAGATTCTGGTGTAATGAGTTAGGTTAGAGCATGTGTCTGGTACACTTGAAATGGGCTGAATACATGGGCCTGTGGGGGCATGTGATGGCCAATTGTGTGTGGGGATTTATGGTTGTCACCCTGTACATGGCTCTGCCCCAGGCTTTGGCCGCTGCCAATGTGGAGTATGTTACTGTCATGCCAACCGCACGGGCAGAGCATGTGAGTGCAGCGGGGACACAGACAGCTGTGTCAGTCCCGAAGGAGGGCTCTGCAGTGGGCACGGACAATGCAAATGCAACCGCTGCCAGTGCTTCGACGGCTACTATGGTGCTCTGTGCGACCAGTGCCCAGGCTGTAAGACGCCATGCGAGAGACACAGGTGAGGCCTCAGGTCTTGCATCTCAGGAGCAGGGGCACGGTGGGGCTTGAGGAGCTACTCCTGTCTGCCTGCTCTCTTTCTCGCTTGTGCTGTGGGTGGGGGCTAGTGGGTGACAACCACTCAGCTGGTAACATTGGCATCTACCACACAGGGACTGTGCAGAGTGTGGGGCCTTTGGGACTGGCCCACTGGCCACCAACTGCAGCACAGCTTGTGCCCATGCCAACGTGACCCTGGATTTGGCCCCTATCTTGGATGATGGCTGGTGCAAAGACAGGACTCTGGACAATCAGCTGTTCTTCTTCTTGGTGGAGGATGAGGCTGGAGGCAGGGTCACACTGAGAGTGAGACCCCAAGAGAGTAAGTAGGTGGAGATGCCAAGTGGAGCCCTGGAAGTTTGATGGGCAGGGCCTAAAACTCTGGGGACGTGCAGGTGAAGATAATGGGAAACCAGACTGGGGGCTGAAGCAGAATTCTGAATTCAGGGCAGGGGCAGAGGTGATGGACCAAGCAGACAAGACTAAGGTCCCGGGCAATGATGATAACCTTGGATCCTACTGGGTTCCCTTTGCTGCCAGTGAGAGGGTTGGAGAGGCTGGACACTGTGAGCAACTGTTTATCTGTCCCTATGCCCCAGCCCCCAGAAGTCTGTGTCCTGTTCTCCCCTATAGAAGGAGCAGACCACAGCCAAGCCATTGTGCTGGGTTGCATAGGGGGTATCGTGGCAGTGGGACTGGGGCTGGTCCTGGCTTACCGGCTCTCAGTGGAAATATATGACCGTCGGGAATACAGACGCTTTGAGAAGGAGCAGCAGCAACTCAACTGGAAGCAGGTAAGGAGACTGCCTCTTGCCCCACCCTGCGGGGCTGTCCTTGTTTGCCTTCCTTGGTTGGGCCCCTTTTTGCTCCCTGCTTCCTCACCTGAGCTCAGCCCTGACATCTCTCACCCCTCTGCTGACTTCCACTGGCTCCTAGGATCCTGCTCAAGTTGTAGGCTAGCCACTTAGGACTAGATGAAGGGGACAGGGAATCCTGGGATTTTCCCTCACAATTTGCAACGTCTTTCCCCAGGACAACAATCCTCTCTACAAAAGTGCCATCACGACCACCATCAATCCCTGCTTTCAAGATGCAGACCGTCCTGCTCTCTGAGAGACTCTCAGCCTGGACTCTTCAGGACCAGCACTGTCCAGGAAGGACAGTGGGAACTGGGGGTGGCTGTCAGGCAAGAGCCTGGAAAGGCACTAAACCACCGCAGAGGCAGAGGAATGGTCACCACCCTACTTCATTTTCAGAGTGACACCCAAGAGGGCTGCTTCCTGCTGCTGCAACCTTGCCTCCCTACCTCACAAGGAGGGTTACCCCACACAAGCACACAATAAAGTCTTACCTGAGACCACAGCTGTCACTTGGCATTACCTCACCAAGGCCAATGCAGATTGTTTAGCCTGGGGCTCAGGAAAGGTCACATCCACTCTCCTTTTGCCACCTGAGGGCAGGGCAACTTGAACGTGCAGGGGACTCCTGCCACACAGCCTGGGAAGGTCTGGAGAGGGCTGGGGAGTTCCTGGGTGCCGCTGATGCAGGGCTACAGGCCACACTTTGAGAGACACCAGAGTGCCCACCCTCATCCTGTCCTGCTGTGTATGCTTTCTTCTCTTGTTCAGAACTGGTGGCCTGTTTTTACTTCTACTTCTTTCTCCTCTGTGGAGAAGGGGGCCTTTAAAATGGTGGTTTGTAGGGTGCTAGAGGTTGTGGGGTGGTTATATTGGAGAGAAAAAAGGAAACCCACTAAAACTACTCTGGCTCCCAGTGAAAGTTTCCCCAAAGGATATTCTTCCCAAAGAGCAGATAGTATGTAGAAAAGCCCCATTTTGTTTTTATTTAAATATCCTAAATATGTCACGAAGGAACATACACTGCACTTTAATGGTAAAAAGATACAAGTTTATAACATCTTATAAAAACTACCATTTAAAAGTGATCTTGTCCATTTGATATTCCCCTCCCCCATAGCAAAATAAGTATATTAAAAAAAAACAAACAGGGTGGAGAGGAAGGGGATAGTTGAAGATAAAAGCCCCAAGGCCCAGCAGAGGCAGAGGCATCTGGGGAGAGGGTTAGAGTTGTGGTGGGAATCCACTCATTTAACCCTCCAATGTCAAGCCATGGGGCACATCAGTAGCTAAGTGATGACGAGGCTGCTGGGGGTGGACGGAAGAGACTTGGGGTGCTGGGAAGGGCAGGGCCTGACGCAGCAGCCCACCTAGGACAGGCACTCTGCTTTCCTGGATCCCCCAATTCCACATCCTGCTTTCTGAGAGCCTTCCCTATTCCATTTCCCCTCACTCTATACACACCTGAGGCATCTTTCCAGTGCTAGGCCCCACCCCAGCAAGGGAGGGTGGGGCATTGGGCCCAGAAGCCTTTGCAGCTCTCTTAGTCTGTGATTTCCCTGGGGTATAAGTGGGGTTCCTGGGCCCTCTGAGTGCTGAATCACTCCCTTTACCCCTTTGCTCCTCTCTCCTCACACATCCACTACCCCAGAGCATCAGCACCTGAACTGCACTACCTACCTGCTCCTGAGTTTCCCCTACACCCAATTCCTCAGCAGGGTGGTTCTGGCATGGCTGTTTGCACACATACTCAGAAGTTCCCTCCCTCCCCCAGGCAAGAAGCCAAGGTCTGTGGGGGGTCAGCGCACCTTCTGACCCAGCACACACATTTGTACATGTAGAGGCATAGGTCACTTGTGATTCTCTCCACTGTCCCTCCATCCCAAACAGATTAGCTAGCTGTAAGTGGCAGGGAGAGAGGCCTCCTGTTTTCAAAAGCGTTTTTGGAGGACAGTTTTCTAAGTGTTTTATAGGTTGCTGGAAGTTGGGGAGGGTGAAGCATCCCACAAGTGAATGACAGAAAAATCCCAGCCCCAGCAGAGCCCTCTAACAGGAAGGAGGCTGGCTCACATGCAGAAAGATACCCCTGCTTACCGGGGCCACAGGGCAGATCCAAGAACTGAGATCTAAGTTTGGGACCACATCAAATGGGAGTGTCAGCATCGAGCTAGAAGAGTACAGAGCAGCAAACAATCCTCAGCGTCTCCCCCAAAAGATCTCAGATACTGTCAGGGAAAATCTAAAGGGTGCCATGTCACCTTTCTTTTTCCCTGAAATATACCAGAGGTAAGGATGAGCCTCCTCCAACCCTTATCCCCTCCAGAACAGCTAATAGCCAGGAATTGCTGCTGCTATCTACTCCCTACATTCTCAGGGAAATGAAATGCCACTTCTTGGAGGTTGCTGTCTCAGATTCCCACTGACAGCTTGAAGCTCAGGTTCAACCAGGCTCCATTACTCCTAAGATAGCTCTGCCACTATTAGTCAGGGCAGGCCACGGGGGGGCCAACCAAACTCCAGAACCTCCTATAACCATCTTTTCTTTTGCAGGAAGAAAGGGTTTTTTACACCTTAGAAAATTCATGTTCACAAGCCTTGGCTTGGCTTACAAACATCCTAACCATCAGCCTGTTGAATCGATTTTTAAAAAACCTTCCAAAACAAAGTCCTTCTGTTTCCTAAATTGTGTTTCTCAGCTCCTGCTGAGACCTCAAGCACTCTTCAGGTCTTGGTGGGAGAAGGCTGTTTTCTGTTCATCCTTCCCTAAGGTGAGGGCAAGAGAAGGGTTTGGCTCAATAACATGCCATTTCCTCCAAGCATACAAATATGAGCACTCACATATCACACATACACACACCCCACCCCTGATCACTTTTCTGGGGGTGGACGGAGTGGTGGTGTCAGAGCAGAGAGGAGCAAAGAACATGGTTAAGAATAAAACTTACATCAGGTTTCTTCCCCAGTCTTTTCTCTGCAGTATCCTCCCCCCACCCCCAATTCTTTGTTTGATGGGTAGGGATGCCCATCAAGAAGGAAGCCAAGATCTTGTTCTTTGGGACAAAGGACAGACCCCTATTTCCTCTACCTGAATACAGTGATAGGACTTGGGGAGGGAGAACAGCTCTTACTGCTCAACAGTCAGGTCAGAAGACACCAAATTCCTTTGTTTCTTGAATAGCTCTTAGCCAAACTGGGACTAGTCTTGGATTGTTCCTAAGAGGGCACAAGGAGAGAGAACCCACTCTGACATCCATAACTCCTTGCTCTATCTGGCTTTAGGAGTCAATGGCAGCGAGGTAGCCACAAATGTCTCAAGACCAATTGCCCAAAGAAAGAAGAAAAGGGCTTCACAGGACACTCTCACCCAAGTTTCCTCCTAAAGGCACTTGAGCTGAACCCATCAGGTACCAGTGTGGCATGGGCCATCACAACACCCCTGGGCACAACTCTTGCTCTTCCTTTGAGGAAGTAAGAGGTCCCATGCATTCTTTTTGGATCCAGCCCTTGCCTGCTCCTCCCACTGTTTTCCCCTTTGTCCCTACAGTGTATAAGGAGGCCAAAAAGCTCAGCTGCCATCCCTGATCCTATCATCTCTCAAACTGGAGGTGAGGTGCAGGGCTGTGGAACACTGAGGATCTATTGCAACTAAAAACTTAATTTTTGGGGAGAGCTGGACCAGCCATAGTCCGTTTTGGACCAGAACTCTATGCCTCCAGATGACCTGTATCCACAGTTTTCCTGCTGAAACTGCTTTTGGATAAACAAAAACAAGAACAGAACAAACAAACAAATCCCCTTCCCCAGTCTTTTCCATTTCAGCTGCCAGCTAGAGTCCAAGGTTGTGGGAGCCACGCTTCAGTCTTGGTCCTGTACCTTGAGTTCCCACCTATGACCTCAGCCAAGGGTCCAGGGACTAGCTCCCCTACCCAGGAATGCTGTAGGAACTTCCCCGAGATACTCATAGTCTCAGATTATTTACAGAGCTGAGGCTCTGGGGCCACTGTCCCCTGATGCACTCTTCTGGTCTCCTGGGTCCACTCCTCCAGGAGCAGGACAGGTTCAGATGTGGCGGTGGTGGGACCATCAGACCAGAGGGGGTGCGCTCTTCAGATTCTTCTGATCACTCCCACCACCCAGGGCCCCTTGCGCCTATAGAGAAAACTGCCCGTCGGAAGTCTTGGACTGGCACCCTTGGCACATCCGTTTGTGTCTGAGTAATCGATCTGTCCGAGAAAAACACTGAGAAGAAAAGGAGGGTTAAGTGCCTGAGAGGAGAAACTCAGCTACCTGTTGGCTAGCTCCTTCCCCACAAAGGAGGCGGATGTAACATTCTATATCCCCTCAGCACGTGCAGAGATGGCATGAGCACACCGTGGTTAGGAAAGCAAACTCTGAAGCCATGGTGCCTGGGTCTGAATCCTGGCTCTATCACTTAGCAACTGTTATGACCCTGGGCAAGTTATCTAACAGCATTAAATCTGTATACTCATCTGTAAAATGAGGCTAAAAGTACCTACTCACAGGGTAGCTGCTTTATTCATCGAATATTTATTGAGTATCTATCTCAAGGCAGGTACAGTTCTTGGGGCTGAGGACAGAGTGGAGAACCAGAAGGACAAAGTCTTTGCCCTCATGGAGCTTTCGTTCTAGTGTTTTGAAGATTCAATGTTAAGAATGTGGAACAAAGCTTAGGCCCTCGCAATGCATCCAGGAAGAGTTAGTTATCATCATTTCTCATCTCTTGTTCATGTCTTGTTTTGGTCTTGGCTCTTATATTCTCATCAGATCAGATAACTGACCCCTAGGGCAAAGATTGTATCTCTTCCTCCAAAGTACACGAGTTCTGAAGTTGGACTGAATACTGGCACTGCTCTTGATCTGCTGTGTCTTTGGGAAACTTAATATCTCTGAATCTCAACTGTCCCATATGTGAAATGAGGACAACACAGCTACCTCAGGAGTTAATTGCATGAGGCCAGAGAGATGCATCTCAGTAAGGTGCTAACTCTACTATGGTGAGCAATGCCAGGTGGCCCCTTAGTCGGGCAGGAATAGGGGCCAGTGCTGGTTCTTGGGGAACAAAAAGTTTGTGTAGGGAGCTGCAACAGGGATGGATGACCTGCGAGTCTTACCTGATGACACCGTTCACACTTGTAAGGCTTTTCGCCACTGTGCACACGCTTGTGGCGTTCCAGGTGGTACTTTTGGATGAAGCGCATATCACATATATCACACTCAAACGGCTTCTCACCTGGCCCGAGTGGAGAGAGAAGTGAATGTCAGGAGGGATATGGTAGGGATTTCATTCCAGTTATTTTCTCAGAAACTTTAACTCTTACCAATGTGTAGGCACCTAAGCTATCATACAAGGGAAAGGGTTCCCAAAGCAGCTGTTATCACTGACACCAGACACAGAGCCATGCAATCTCTACCTCATTCAATTATCTTCTTCCTCCATTTCTAATATTTCCCCTTTAAAATAAACCTAACTGGAGCCGCACACACATACATACACAGGATGTAAGCTACAAACTGTTCTCCCCTTTTGAATACAAGCTAGAGACTTACCGGTGTGAATAAGGATGTGCCTCTTTAGGTGGTAACTGCTCCTAAAGGCTCCAAAGCAGTGTTCACAAACAAAATTTTTGGGAATCTTTACTTGAAAAGAACCATTTTGTTCCACTACCACCACCTGGGGGCAACAGTAAGGCATGTCAGGAGGCTGTCCCTATGCCCTCTTCCTGGAGAGACCATTTTATTCTGGGTCCACTTCCAGCTGCTGGACAAAGGAACCTCTCTGATGCTGTCTAAAGGTCATTGCCCATATTCCTTAGAGTTAAAAGACCTTCTAGGGAAGGAGGTAGAGTGAGAAAGCTGTCCACCTTGTCAAATCCAACATTCCTGAGTATGACCTAAGCCGGAATCTGCCTGCCCCCCACCATGGGATCTCATGTTCCCCAAATGGTACCAGATGTTCCAGCGAGGGTAGAGATCAACTACCTCAGTGGTCTCTGGGTGAAATCAGGGGACACATTCACCTGCTTCGAGAGACCAAAGTGTCTAGGGAAAGCTCCAGGTTGAGTGATATCAGGAAGAAAGAGGAAGATTACCCCATCACTAAACTGTATCAGTTTGGGGGATTACCCCATTACCTGCCTTTTTAACAGTCTTTTTTGAATGAGAGGCCTCAGCCAAGCTGTCATCATCTTTGCGGCTCCGGGACTTATCACTGTCTTTTCGGTGGCCCTTTGAAGACAAATCAAATCTAAACTCACAGTCCATCTCAGAACACAAGATGAAACCAAATGCTGCTTTCAGATAAACAACTTATAAATGAGAATAAACCACCTGCCCCGAAAGCTTAGGGAAAATATACTCTCCAAGTATCCTGGTTTTAAGGAGGTATAGGTACAGAAAAGGCCTTCCTTAGCTCTCCAAAATAACAACAATTATTCATCCCCCATGTGGGATGAATGATTTTTCCCCAGTTCCCTAAATGGAAATACAAGGAATCAGAGCTTGGTGTCTCCTGGCAGAGAGCTTGGGCCACCCGACCCCCAGGTGCCACAATGGACTCAAGTGCTGTACCTGACTTGAGCACCTCAGCACATCAGGGCTACCTGCCCGTTCTCCATTCTCGGCCTGCTTGCTGGCAATCTGGCTCAGCATCATCTTCTTGCTGGCTGCAGTGGGAACCAAACTTACACCTGCTAGGCCTTCACATGCCAGGAGACTCGCCTAAGTTGAAAGGAGATGAGGTGTCAAATCACCTGGCAGGGCAGGGCTAAAACAGGCTGCCATCCTCTATAGAACTACCTTTTACACTCAGCTACAAACAAACTGTTCCATTACTACGGAACTATCTGCAGTACATCCTCATTGCCAAACCTTGCTTCCTTCAAGAGTCCTCCCCAACTCATCTCACCAGGAACTAGTTATTTTTCTGTTACCTCTCAGCATTTACCTACAGATCAAATGAATAATCAAGTATTACTGACACCTTTGTCATTAGCACTGTGCTAGGTAATGTGTGTGTGATTACATGTTACTGTGAAAGTATTTCTAGGTCTTAACTGTGAGTAGGTATGAGGGTCTGTCTTGCTGACCCCCTGAAATAGAGATTCCTAGGGACCTTCCTACTTTCTCTTTCGACAGTCCTCGGCTTCAGAGCCCACTTCTGACTGGCAGACGTCGCTGGTGCCAACTATACATCCTATCAGTTTGTTTTACTGATAAATAACTATGTTTATCAGTAAAATTAGGTTATTTCTACCTCTACATTTAAAATTTCCTAAGTGTCAATTATAACAGATATAAAAATTAAACCACTCAGAAGAATTTTGGAGTTGAATATACAATTTCTCTTGACCCCTTACCTTAGGCCTGAGATCCCCAATCCCCATCCATGGCCTGTTAGGAACAGCCCCAATACAGCAGGAGGTGAAGGGCTGGCAGGCAAATGACTGAAGCTTCATTTGTATTTACAACCACGCCCCATCACTCCCATCACTGCCTGAGCTCTGCCTCCTGTCAGATCAGCAGCAGCATTAGATTCTGTGTTTGCACATAGGAGTGCAAACACTACTGTAAACTGCATACTCCAGGGACCTGGGCTGCGTGCTCCCTATGAGAATCTAATGCCTGATGATCTGTGGTGGAGCTGAGACAGTGATGCTAGAGCTGGGGAGCAGCTGCAGATACAGATTATTACTAGCAAAGAGGTTTGACTGCACAATAAATGTAATGTGCTTGAATCATGCCGAAACCATTGCCCCTCAGCCCTGGTCCATGGAAAAATTGTCTTCCATGAAACTGGTCCTTGGTGCCAAAAAGGTTGGGGACTGCTGCCTTAAGCCACCTATATGTGTGCACATACATTTACATTTTTCACATTCCCTGCTCCACATTTAGTTTAAAAAATTAAATAAGGGATGTTTAAGCAAATTTCCTCTTTCCACTGCTACATTCTTCAAACTGACTTTGTTTAGCCAGCACTAGACAATATGCTTTTCTTGCTGAAGAAAAATTTTTAAGAAATAGTTGGTCATTCTTATCATTTACCTGTTGTGATTCAAAAAAGAAATAGTTGGTCAGCAAACTCCCAACTTTATAAAGAAATTCCTTTTGCTCTGTTACTCTCTCTCCTTCTAAAAAAAAAAAAAAAAAAAAAAAAAAGAAATTCCTTTTGCATATCAGTATATCTTGGGACCCCTTCTTCCACCTTCAAGGACTTTGGGGTGAAAGGTCTGGAGTTAACAATCTTAGCTCAGCTGTTTGTACTGTGTAATCTTGGGCAAGTTACTCTACCTTTTAAGTCTGTTTCCTAAATGAAAAATGTCTGTCATAGTACCTATCCTCACAGGGTTGGTGAGAATTAAACTAAGATGTAAAATACTTAGCAGTGCTCAGCAGTGCTTAGTGGAAGGCAGCCTTCTCAGAACAAGAGTGAACACAATGCTAAGAAGTGGGTTGCAAACAAAGGAAGAAGGAACCAAAGGACTCCTATTCTGCATGGGAGGAGGAAGCTGTGCGTGCAGAAGCAGCTGGAAGAAAGCCAATTATACTACAATTGAGCTGCCATCCTGGTGAGACTGGTAGGGGAGGTGCCCCGGAAGAAAGCTGGGAGAAGCTCTGGGGATGTATGTACATAGCTTTTCTACCCAGATAACAACAATAGCCTATCTGGTCATTCTGTCGCTCCAATTCATCCTTGACCTCCACAATGACCTTCTAAATACACTGATCTGATGTTACTCTGCTGCTTAACATTCTTCAGGGAGTCCCCATTCTGTATAAAGTCTAATTCCTTTGCAAGGCACAAAAGGCCCTTGAGTTACACTCTGCTTACTTCTCCAGGACAGAACTCTCCTGCCCATCCATCAGTATCTATTTTTATCTCCCTAACTATCCCCATTTAAATCCTTTGCCCCATAACTACTGAATTACCTGCATTACCTGGAACCTCATCATCTCCTTCCCATGCCTCTAAGCCCCTTCCCATGCAGCTCATGTCTGAATGCCCTTCACTGGTTATTTATCTAGCAATATCCTATGCATGCTTCACACGTCATCCTTTTTTTCCATCCAAGCAGAAGTATCATTCTCTCCTCTGCAGTGTACATACCTCTATTGCACATTCCTTCAATCAACAGATTCAGAGTCTCTATTACTAGCCAGTCACTATGCAAGGCATTGTCACTATAAAAACAAATAATTATCTTTCTATCCCTCCCCACACCCCAGCTAGCCTGGAAGCTTGCTGGGGATAAGGACAATGTTATTCATCTTTGTATTCCCAGCACAATGCCTTATATATAACAGGAGCTTAATAAATTCCTGTTCAAAAAAAATAAATGAAGCATTCACCAGACTATTCACTCCCTTACACCCCTCAGCACTTAATGTACCAAAGGTAAACTGAGTACATATTGCTTTGTAAATGTCCCATCAGTGCCTGTGATGCAGTATAGCCTACCTCCTTCATTTGACTGGAAGCTCCCTGAAGGCAGGGGCTGTGGCCTGTCTCCTTTCCTTCCTCTAGATCTCCCCCTGGTGCTTAATACAGAGCTTGGCTCACTGAGGTTGGTCAATATGTTGACTAAGGCAGCATTCAAGAGTGAAACTGCAAACAGGCTTCCCAGTGATCTTGAAGGAGGAGGACTCTAGAGCTTTTTACCTGAGCCATGCTGATTTCTCACTTAATGCAACCAAAAGTTCAGGAGTTCCTTGATCCACCTTTCCTTAAGACACTGTTGTTTGAAAAACTGTCACCAAATTATGACAACGATTCCTTCGTGCTTCTTCAGTCCTGTTGCCATAGTGAACTTTGTCTTCAAACAGAACTTAGTGTCCTCCAAAGAAAAAAAGAGGTGTCCCAAGAATCCCTGGACTCTGCCTGGCTCCTGCCTATTGTTTGAAGAAAAGAGAGTCTGCCCGTCTTGGTTTTCCAGTTGAATTCTCTCGATGAAGCTCTTGATCTCTTTCAGAAACCTGAAACCAGAAATGGAGAGGCCACTGCTAAGTGCAACATCCTCAGGCCATACAACGTGTGATGCGCTGAACTTTTTCGATGGGTGCTCTCTGTGAAGCTCAAAAAGAGGACATGAGTCAAGATGAGTTCTCTTTCTAGGTCAGTAGGAGAAACTGGTCTCCTAGGCGAGGAGGGGTAGCTAACAGGAGCAAAAGTAACTGAGGCCTCCTATGGAGCAACTCTGCCAACAGGGCAACAGCTTGGATTTGCCATTTTAGGAATGGAAGGGGGCGGAGACCCTTTGGGGCTTTTTGTGCCGAGTGGGCCGGCCAGCAGAGCTCATACTCAAGAGACGGCCAGAACTGGGGTGGAGGAAAGCTCAGGCCATCGCTGGGCGCTTGGGTGGCGGGCAGAAACCAGACTGGCAGTGCCTACACGTGCGCGTTCTCCAAGTCCGCCCGAAGGTACAGAAACTCGCTGCGGAGGTGGAGGGCAGGCAGGCGAAGCCCAGAGCGGTGCGTTCCGTCCCGCTCGCCCGCCGGCCGGCCAGCCAGCCGCAGCACCAGCTGCACTGACCAGGAGCAGAGCAGGAGAGCGCCGAGCAGCGCGCGAGGTGCGTGCTCGCGCCCGCGTCCCCTCCAAGCAAGCCCCCCTCTCCCAGGCCCGGGCCGCGGCGGGGCGCGCAGGCGGGGGGCGGTGTGCGCGCCCGGCCTTTCCCCTCCCCCGGGGAGCTCCCTCCCTTCGCCACGCGCCCCTCCTCCCTTCCCCTCCCCCTTCCCGCGCGGCGCCCCACGGCCTGCGAGCTACTGAAGCGCTGCCGTCTGCCCTGACTACACTGTGCGCTCCCTGGGGCGTGCTCCTACCTGCCAGACGCGGCCTCCCGCAGTCTCCCCGGCTGCGCGGCGCCTCCTCCAGGGCCCAGCACAGCTTGCCAACCCTGCAGCCGCCACTGCCCCCGCCGGGACCGAGGCAAGTTTACAAACACCAACCTGGGCCCGTTTCCCCGGAAGCACTTCCCCCTCCCCCTCGTCTTCTCCGGCAAGCGGCAACATCCACTTCCGGGCTCGGGAGCTAGACGGGTGGGGGCATCCAGAAAGGGGGTGAGCCTAGGGACACACGGAGAGGTGCAGCTGGTGAGTGGGCGGTGCCGGCGCGCGGAAGGACCGGAGGAGGGCGGGCCCCACCGGCGGCGCGTGCGCCCTGGCGCATGCGAGTCCTGGCCGCCATCTTGAGTGAGGGCGGGAATCAGGGCCCTAAAATAATTAATTATGCGCTGGGTGCTTGCTCTTCGAGAGGGTTTGCTGGACTCCTTGAAAGAGTGCCATCACTGCCCTTTCTTCGCTGACGTTGTCCTCAAAGCTTCTAAGCCGCAGCTCCAAGTAGAGCCAGAATAGTTTCTTCCCAACCTTTTCACGTAACTCAGCCGAGATTGTCTTTACCTGAACTTTCCAATGGGGCCAAATCTGCAGATTTTGGGGTCAGCTGGGAGAAGAGTTAACTTTGTTTGCATACTCCTGCCTTGCATGCTCAACCACAATATGAAAATTGGTGTTCTTTCAGAGGCATTTCCTGAATAGCCCGAGGCCGCCCTGCTCTCTTACCTGCAGAAGTCAAAGCCTGGTCTGTGCACCCCAGGCCAGCCTAGTTACTTTCTACCCCTTCCACCTTTATTCCAGGCCCTACAGCATCTAACATTGGCCTCCTCACCTGGAAAAGACCGTAGGACTCCTCTCAGTGGGAGACTAGTCTCCTTGGAGACTTGGCCACGCACGTTGGCCCCTGAGCTGGGCTGTATTAGGGAAATGGAAACTTGAGCCTATCTTCAAATTCTCTTCCCTATTTTAGTCATTAGGGAGAGGTCTTGCTAAACATGGACCACGCAAATTGCACTTGATGGAGGGAAATGTCGGTTCCATTTAAGTCCTGATTTCTGCTGTACGTGATATTAGGTTGTGAGTTTAGGGGAATTAATGGCGGAAGCAAAAGAAAAAAATGTTTATGATGAAAAAAGACAAGGATTCCAGAGGATTTTTTGTACACAAATTTCCTTAAGCCACTCTACGAGTTGGGCCATTGAAATCAAGTTCCTTGTCCTCTTAGAATCCTTAAGTTGAGATAAAATGAAGACAGAGAGAAACATTACCAGAAACAAGTCTTTTAAATAATCTTAAAAAAAAATTAGCTCATTATTTCTTTTACAAATCCACACAATACATAATTCAAAAGGCAAAAAATAAGATTGAGTCGCCTCCTCTATCCCATGCTCCTGAAGGTAGTCATTCTTATCTGTTTGGTATATAGCCCTCTAGACTTTTTTCTGTATTCATACAAAATTTTTTTTTTCCGTCCAGTACATATTTATTGAGCACCTGGAATGTGCCACAGTTCACATTTAAAAAATTGTTGTGTAGTGTTCCAAATTGTGTAGTGTTCCAAATTTATGTTTGTATTTCAATTTGTCTAGTCCCATCTTGAACATTTAGGTTGGTTCAGTTTTTTTGCTTTATAAACAGTGCTATAACTAACATCCTTAAATAGTTATCCTTTTGCATTTATAGATTTGTAGGTAGGATATGTGTATGTTAAGTTTTAATAGATTTTGTGAAATTGAATTGTAAAAGTTTGCAACAACTTACTCAGATCATAGTTCACTGGAACTTCAAATGCCTGGGTTGAGGGGAATCTTCCTCCCTGAGCCTTGATAATTGTTTTTATTTTTTTGTGGAGATAGAGTTTCACTATATTGGCCAGTTTGGTATGGAACTCCTGGACTCAAGTGATCCTCTCGCCTCAGCCTCACAAAATGCTGGGATTACAGGCATGAGGCACCTTGCCCTGCCCCTGCCTGAATTTTTTTGTATAGTTACTGATTTGATTAGTAGGTGAAAAATTGTATTTCATTGTTTTAATTTGCATGTCATTAATAATGAGCTTAAGCATTTCTTAGTGCTTTTTCTTTCTTCTTTCTTTTTCTTTTTTTTTTTTTTTTAAGATGTAGATCTGGATCTTGCTATGTTTGGGCTGGTCTTCAACTCCTGGGCTTAAGCAATCCTCCTGCCTGAGGCTCCCAAGTAGACAGGACTATTTTATAGCTTTCTCACCATTTTAATGGTTTTTGTAAACTGCCTGTTCATATCCTTTACCTATTAAAAAAAAGTAGATTGTCTGTTTCTTACTGATTGGTAGAAATCCTCTCTATGTTATGAATATTAACTATTTTTTGTCATCTGCATTTAAAATATTTTCTCTTCAGTTTTTATTTATCTTTCAGCTTTTTTTTTTTTGAGAACAAAAGTCAATTTTTATGGGAAAGCTTTTCTTTTGTTTTTTTCTTTTGAGACAGAGTTTTATTATTGCCTGCGCTACAGTGCCGTGGCATCAGCCTAGCTCACAGCAACCTCAAACTCCTGGGCTCAAGCGATCCTCCTGCCTCAGCCTCCCGAGTAGCTGGGACTACAGGCACGAGCCACCATGCACGGCTAATTTTTTTTCTATATGTTTTTAGTTGGCCAATTAATTTCTTTCTATTTTTAGTAGAGACAGGGTCTCACTCTTGCTCAGGCTGGTTTCGAACTTCTGGCCTTCAGCGATCTGCCCGCCTCGGCCTCCCAGAGTGCTAGGATTATAGGCGTGAGCCACCACACCTGACACTTTGGGAAAGTATTTGAAACATTCCTATCAAAGATGGGAACAAGTCAGGAATGTTTACCATCTAAACTAATATTCTGAGGATGGGTGTGGTGGCTCATGTCTATAATCCTAATACTCTGGTAGGCCAAGGTGGGCAGATTATTTGAGCTCAGGAGTTTGAAACCAGCCTGAGCAAGAGTGAGACCCCATCACTACTAAAAAGCTAGAAAGAAATGAGCTGGACAAATAAAAATATATAGGAAAAATTAGCCGGGCATGGTGGCACATGCCTGTAGTCCCAGCTACTCGGGAGGCTGAGGCAGGAGGATTGCTTGAGCCCAGGAGTTTGAGGTTGCTGTTAGCTAGGCTGATGCCACAGCACTCTAGCCCAGGCAACAGTGAGATTCTGTCTTGAAAAAACAAAACAAAACTAATATTCTGAGGCTGGGTGCAGTGGGAGCACTCTGGGAGGCCCAGATAAAAGATCTCTTGAGGTCTGGAATTTGAAACCAGCCTGAGCAGGAGCGAGACCTCACGCCAGTCTCTACAAAAATAGAAACTTGGCCTGGTGTGGTGATACGTGCCTGTAGTCCCAGCTACTTGGGAGGCCAAGACAGGAGGATCATTTGAGCCCAGGAGTATGAGGTTGCAGTGAGCTTTGATGAGGCCACTGCACTCTAGCCAGAGTGACAGAGGGAGACCCTGTCTCAAAACAAACAACAAAAAATCTAATATTCTGCTAGAATACCTGACCACTCCAAAATCTCATTATTTTCATGTAAATATATTCATCTATAAAGAGAAATGATTCGCAGTATATTAAAACTAGTGAGTTCAGCAACATGGCCAGATGTAAGATTGACAAACAAAAATTATATAAATATCTTCTTGCTAAGGTCAGGGCTAAAAAAGGTAAAAAAAAATAAAATAAAATAAAAAATTATATAAATAAAATTAAGAATAACCAACCATAAAATGTCATGAAATAGTCTCATCCACAATAAAAATATTATGTTTCTAGAAAAAAAATTAACAGGAAAGTGCAAGGCACGTATTAAGAAAACCATACTGGCTGGGCTCTGTGGCTCACACCTGTAATCCTAGCACTCTGGGACGTCAAAGCGGGCGGATTGCTTGAGGTCTGGAGTTTGAAACCAGCCTGAGTGAGACCTCGTCTCTACTAAAAGTAGAAAGAAATTAATTGATCAACTAAAAATATATATACAAAAAATTAGCCAGGCATGGTGCGCATGCCTGTAGTCCCAGCTACTCAGGAGGCTGAGGCACTTGAGCCCAGGAGTTTGAGGTTGCTGTGAGCTAGACTGACGCCATGGCACTCACTCTAGCTTGGGCAACAAAGTGAGACTCTGTCTCAAAAAAGAAAAAAAAGAAAACCATACTGCTTTAATGAAGAAAAAAAAGGATTTGATTAAATGGAGAGTTTTACCAGGTTCATGAACAGAAAGACTACTGAAAAGACATCAATTTTGGCTATAGATTAAGTTAAGATTACATTAATTTAAAACAACTTAAAGAACTTAAGCTAATTTTAAAATTTATATGAAAAAGAACAATTTAAAGGAGAGCAAAGCTTTGTGCAGTGGCAGTATCGTAGCCAATGAGGTTTATCCAAGGGGAGATTATTGCCAGCTGAAAACTTTTCAACTTTTCAATTTCAAAACTTTTCAAAACCCTGCCATGACGACTTGAAATATAGTCGGCATTGCCAATTTTTGACAGTCCCTATGGGAGCTAAGGAAAAAAAAAAGAGCAAAAAACATTTGAAAAACATTCAGTAGATAAGATAATGAGTGGGAAAAAGAAAATCATGAGTTATCCTTAACCACTTTAATAGTATCTTTATTTATAAAAAATTTAAAAAGTTTTACACTGTCAAATCTGCCTGTGGCTTTTGGGTTTTTGTGAGATGCTACCTCAAGGTTCTTAAAATATGTCGCTGTACTTCCTTCTGATATAGTTGTATATTTTCAGTTTATGTCTTTATCCTAGCTGCAGTTTATTTTTGTGTATGGTGAGAAGCAGTGAGACATGCTAGACTTAAAAGGGACCAGAGATACAGAGGAAGAGGTATTGCGTGGAAGTCAGAAAATGATCTAGGCTTGCTGCCTTGCAACCTTTAATTGTGGACAAATTAGGTCACCCTCTGTGGCCCAAAAGTCCTCATCTTGAAAATGAGAATGAGTAAGTGCCCATTCAGGCAAATTTCTGGTACTACTATGAGGATCAAATGTGGCAATAGATGATAAGGCTTTGAGAAGGAAAAAAAAAACTTTGCAAATCTAAATTATCATTACTATAGA